CCCTAAGATCAATTAAATCATTTAATCAATTACCCAAAAGAAAGAATTAAATCACAATAATTAATTAGGAAGGCCCACCATAGTCCACGGGCCCTTATCCCTAAACCCAATCCTTAGTCCCAAAAGAAATAGAACTAGCAAGCCCATAATATTAGTTCCTAACGAGGACACCTAAATATATAAATAGGGGACTTAAGGGGCACCTAGAAACCCCCACCACAAGAATAACGCCCACCACCCCAAAGAGCTCCAAGAATCCCCCTAGAAGAAATCAAGAAAGCAAGAAAGCTTAAAGAAAGACCCTTCATAGCCAAGGAATTAATTAAGGCTAAGAGGTAACCCATGTCTCAAAAAAACCTATTTTCATAGCTATGATTTCCCCCGTAGGATTTCCCCATATTATTGTGTATTGATGATTTGTGATGTTATTATTGATGACTGATGGGATAATTCCATGGGTGATCTTGATATCGGGAGATTCTTGATAATTATGGTGTTCTTAACGATTACGTGGAGTTCTTGATAATTGTATGTTGTTCTTGATAATTGTATGGCGTTCTTGATACTTATGTGTTATTTGTACCGAATCCTGTAATTAGAAGACGAATCGAATTCTTGTTGGCATAAAAGTGATTAGAACCCTAGGTTGTATCGTATGGAATTATTCTTGGTATATTGGGTGGGAATTCGCATGATTGGGTGTTTATTATGTTTAGAAAAGCATGATAGGTTATGTGCCGATTGCTTCCTGATTTTGATCTGTTAATTGTCTACGTGTGTTATCAATTGCGTTTGAAAGTGTCCAAGCATGATTTCGGGTTCCACAAAGGTTCCCGGGGCGTTTCTTGATGAAAAGAGTCAGTGGGGGGTAGGGGACCCGCCACCTACCCGCGGCCTCCTTGGGCAACGCCGGCAGCGGGCAGCCGGCGGGCGGGCAGCTGCCCGTCGGGCACCCGCTGCCCGGTTTTGTTACCGCCGGCGGGCAGCCGGCGGGTGATCCCTCACCCACCAGCTACCCGCTGGTTTGCACCCCAGTTGGGGATCTTGGCTTCCCCGTTTGATGTTTCCCCGACCCCCGTAGGTGGAGTTCTTGATAATTGTATGGCGTTCTTGATACTTATGTGTTATTTATACCGAATCCTGTAATTAGAAGACGAATCGAATTCTTGTTGGCATAAAAGTGATTAGAACCCTAGGTTGTATCGTATGGAATTATTCTTGGTATATTGGGTGGGAATTCGCATGATTGGGTGTTTATTATGTTTAGAAAAGCATGATAGGTTATGTGCCGATTGTTTCCTGATTTTGATCCGTTAATTGTATACGTGTGTTATCAATTGCGTTTGAAAGTGTCCAAGCATGGTTTCGGGTTCCACAAAGGTTCCCGGGGCGTTTCTTGATGAAAAGAGTCAGTGGGGGGTAGGTGGGGGTAGGGGACCCGCCACCTACCCGCGGCCTCCTTGGGCAACGCCGGCAGCGGGCAGCCGGCGGGCGGGCAGCTGCCCGCCGGGCACCCGCTGCCCGGTTTTGTTACCGCCGGCGGGTGATCCCTCACCCACCGGCTACCCGCTGGTTTGCACCCTAGTTAGGGATCTTGGCTTCCCTGTTTGATGTTACCCCGACCCCCGTGGTGTCCCAACGGACTCCGTCTATCGTGCCTATGTCTAGTTTGATATTTCGGGTACCGTTCGTAGGTTGTATGAGTCTTATATATTGCATGCTAGTTGAATTGGTATCCCGCTGACCTAGGTGAAAGGAGTATGAACCCCTTAGGACTATTCTTAGCATGTGAAGGATCACGCATAGGTTTTGTTATACGTTTCCTCCCCTTCCCAATATGTTAATGTGGGTTGCATGTGCTTGCTACGTGTTATGTGTGCGTGTCACCCCGAATTGGTTGAGATCAATCGGGCTATACGGGCAGTCGGGTGGGCTGAGAACCATACCGGCTGTTAACCAGGCTGGTAGAGACCGGTCAGGTATATAAATATTATATAGGACTAAGTTCCACTATACGGGCAGTCGGATGGGCTGAGAACCATACCGGCTGTTAACCAGGCTGGTAGAGACCGGTCAGGTATATAAATATTATATAGGACAAAGGTCCACTATACGGGCAGTTGAATGGGCTGAGAACCATCCCAACTGTTAACCAGGCTGGTAAAGACCGGTCAGGTATATAAATATTATGTAGGACAAAGGTCCATCAGTCGGTTGCGATCGGCTCCTCCGTAATGTGAGACGGGGCAGGGTGCTGCGGGGCCGTGTCAGAGCTATATGCGCTGACCCTCATGTATGGGCATGCGATTGGTCCTGTGGCGCCAACAAAGTGTGCTATGTGATGAGATATGGAGGAGTTGTGTTTATGAGTATATTGGGGGATGTGACTAAGGGATTTATCTGGGGATTGTTTATGTTGGGTTATGATTATTAATTATGCTCAGCTTTATCTGTCTTACCTGTTGTGGATTGTATACGCCTGTTATGACTGTCGCTTCTGTCTAGCCTTGTCTGTCGAGTCATTCCCGGTTTTAAAAGCTAGAGTCTCATAGGATATATCTTCATGCTTCAAAATGGTTTTCGTATATCTATATATATCTCTATATGTATTGTATTTCAACGCGTTGGAGTGGGTTACCAGCATCTCTCGCTGAACAGATATATTTGGCTTTCAGGCACAACGAGTAGTTCACTGGAGCGCGCTAGAAGCTTGGACGTAGCTTAGATAGTTTTTCCCTTTCGGCCTGCGTGCCATGATTTAGTACTGATACTATTTGAGGATATTAGTCAGTTAGCCTGTGCACCTGAGTTCTCTAGCTTAGGTGTGGCATAGCACCCCATACTCTTGTACTATGTTTTGGGATTCAACGAGATTTCACCTTTATTTTATAAGTTTTAAATATCCTGAAAATCTGGGGTGTTACAGCTTGTTCCCTTTAAATCAAGTATGAATGTAGTTGGATGTAAGTGGGTGTTTAGAACCAAGAGAAAGGCTGATGGTTGGATTGAGCGTTACAAGGTTCGGTTAGTTGCCAAGGGATTCAATCAGATTGCTGGTGATGATTTCTTTGAGACCTTTAGTCCCGTTGTTAAACCGACTACGGTACGTCTTCTCTTATCCCTAGCTATTTCTCGTGGATGGACTATTCGACAGCTAGACATACACAATGCTTTCCTAAACAGCAATCCCACTGAGACAGTTTATATGCGCCAGCCCCCTGGCTATGAAGACAAAACGATGCCCGGGCACGTTTGTCTCCTTCAACGTTCTTTGTATGGGCTTAAGCAAGCTACCCGTGCTTGGTTCACACGTTTGCATGATTTTCTGATTTCTGTTGGTTTCTCACCTTCCAAGAGTAATATAATATATCTTTATTTATATGTTCACATGGCAATACTCGTCTATATTTTCTGGTTTATGTGGATGATATTTTGGTTATGGGTTCTGATTCGGCTCATGTGACTGATCTTATTGACAAGTTGGCTCTTGAATTTAAAGTTCGTGATATGGGAGTGCCCTCTTTTTTCCTGGGTATTGAGACTATTCCGTTGTCTGGTAGCATGCTTCTGTCTCAACAACGGTACATGAAAGATATTTTAAAATGGGCAGGTATAGTTGATTGCAAGCCCGTGGCCACTCCGGTTTCAACCGCAAAGGCCGTGACTGGTGCCGTGGTGCCATATGCTGATCCCACTCAGTATCACAGCTTTTCAGGTGCTCTACAATATCTTACGGTAACTCGTCCTGATCTTTGCTATGCAGCCAATCGTTTGTGTCAGCACATGCACTCTCCCTCCACTGCGGATTGGGCGGCTCTCAAGAGGGTGTTACGGTATGTAAATGGGACACTACATCTCGGTCTTAAAATTACTTCCTCTCCCTCTCTGGATATTCATGCTTATTCTGATTCCGATTGGGCTGGCAATCCTGATGAACGAAAATCTACCAGTGCTTTTGCTGTGTTTTTGGGGACCAATCTTGTCTCATGGGTTTGTCGAAAACAGCGTATTGTGGCTCGTTCCTCAACTGAGGCAGAATACAAAGGACTCGCTGATGTTTCTGCAGAGGTTACTTGGCTCGTATCTCTGATGAAGGAACTCGGGTTTGCGCCACCTTCTGCGCCCAAACTCTAGTGTGATCATCTGGGTGCTACTTATCTATGTGTTAATCCGGTGTTTCATGCTCGCACCAAACACATTGAGATCGACTACCACTTTGTTCGCGATAAAGTAGCAAAGAAGGAATTACAAGTTAATTTTATTTCTACCAAAGATCAGATAGCGGATATTTTTACTAAGTCTCTTTCGTTTGTACGTTTTAATTTACTCCGTTCCAAGTTCAATGTTTTGGCTGACCAAACTTGTGCTTGGAGTATTAGGACTCTATTATTCATATTAGACTAGGACTATATTATTCGTGTTAGACAAGGACTCTATCTAGCATCTCTATATATTCACTCCATGTCCTCTCAGACATTATTATTGAATACAACACAATTATATTCTCATCATAACACTCGGTATAACATAATATCATATTCATAATCATTATTATTTTGTATAAGGGTATTTATGTCTTTAAAACCTATTCAATTTCTATTTCTTTAACCATCCAAAGACTAGAATATATACAATTCCTAAAGTCTATTACCAACCAAACAATATAATATAATTTCTGTTCTGTTCCTTACCATTTCAATTCCTTGTGGAATAGCAATCATATTCCCTCCAAATTCATTTCGTGAACCAAACATGCTGTAAATATAATATCAATTGAATCTACATACATGATATATACATCGACCAGTAAGTACAGTCTCAGCAAATTATATCGTGAACTAGGGCGCACAATGCATTGTGCGCCATAGCAAAAACGATGTCGTTGTATCTTCTTTTTTTTTTTTTTTTTTTTTTTTTTGAAATTTCGTTTCCCGTTTCTGCCATTAACTTCTAAAAAGAAAATTGTATTTCGAATGTACAGAATTGTATAGTCAAATACATATAAACTCATAACATAATACACATAATCTAACATAATACATAATACACATAAACTCTTAACATAATACAAATAAACTTTTAACAGAATACACATAAACTCTTAATATAATACACATAGAATCTTAACATAAAAAACGACATCGTTTTGATTGTGCGCCCTGGTGTACGTTATAACGATTCTACAGCCTGCTCTACAAATTGTTGATATCTTCATAGAAATATTTATTGAAATCTTGAATGTGATCGACTTGAAAACATGCCGCAACCAGTAATGAGCCTTCCCCATCCCCACCAATTCCATCTGGAAGGATCAAAACGTCCCCATCACAGTCATGACCAGGGCTCATATGAATCTCTTTCCCCCACCCCAAATCCAGTCCGTGATTCGGAAGACCCACCCAGTTTATAACGCTCAGATTTGGATTCCCAACAAAGAAGGTTCCTAATTCTTGCCTCTTAATCACATCCCCTTCATTTCTATAAAAATCTATTGCACAATTCACGTACTCCGAGGTTACACCATCGATTGCATCACGTATTTTAGAAGCCACGTCTTGTAGTGGCCTGGAGATAATCTCCCCCGAGACGCCATGGATCACCACATCAATGATCGCATTCCCGAAATAGGAATCCGGCAATGGAGGCTCCATTCGCCTGCGGATGTCCACACAGAAGCTTAAATTCGTCGGCTGCTGGGGTTTATGGCTTCGCGCTTTGCATGCGCACCTCCATATGTGGGCAGTTATCACCTCGTACCTGAATTCAAATAAATTCAATACCAATCTGAATTCCATTTTTTTAATGGGGTGTTTGTAAATAGATGTTAAATTACCTGATTTGATTACTGTGTTTAGTTAGTTGATAGCATTATCTGATTATAAAAAATTATTTTGGTAAATTAGTTGTTAGCTGTCACTACTGGAAATTCTGAAATTTCCGACCACCTGAAAGTGATCATAAATCAAGTTGAAAGTCTTGTTCCGACCACTTTTGGTATCCGGAAAAACCTTTGTTGCTATTTCCGACCACTTTTTGGACTTTTTGGTATCAACTTAATTTAAGATCATTTTCAGGTGGTCGGAAATTTCAGAATTTCCAGTAGTGTGTTAGCTATTATATACAAAAAGATTTTTCATAATAATAATAATAATAATAATAATAATAATAATAATAATAATAATAATATTATTATTATTATTATTATTATTATTATTATTATGCATACATACACACATGTATGTTTGTTTATATCTGAGTTGTCCTTAATTAATAACTCTTTAATATAAATATGTATATTTATTATAATATGGAATAATAATAATAATAATAATAATAATAATAATAATAATAATAATAATAATTATTATTATTATTATTATTATTATTATTATTATTATAATAAGTTAATACAATCTGAGGTCCTCCAAGTATAGTGGTTGACTTTTAAATTTAACCATTCGTGGTCTAAATTAACCACCCATGGCCTTTCAAGTTTCGAAATTTAACCAGCCATAGTCTTCTTGAAAGGACCATGGTTGGTTAAAATTTAATAGTTGAAGGACCATGGGTGGTTAACTTGGACCACAGATGGTTAAATTTGAAAGTAGAAGGACCACAGATGAGCACTCTAAAAATTTAGGACCAAACGTAGCAAAATCACTATAATCAGAGGACCCCATGTGACATTATTGTCGATGTGGTTGTTATTCTATCTCTCTCACACACATATGTGGACGCTTTATCACCTCGTACCTGCATTCAAATAAGGGAAAATGACACTTTTTCCCCCTAAGTTATATCATTATAGCACTTTTTCCCCCTCAATTATTTATGTAAGCACATTAGCCCCCTCAATTATTTTAAAAGTGGTGGTTTTTCCCCCTGATATATTAAATTGACATTTCTACCCTTAAAGTAAACATTTTATTTATTTTACTTCTCCAACAAATCATTGCGTATATGTAGCGATGACCACGGTTCGGTTCATACTGAACCGGACACTATAACAATCGAATTAAAATTTTTCTGTTATGATTCAGATCTAGAACCAAATATTTGAATTTCAATTTATTAAATTTATGAATAAAAAAAACTGGATCCTGAATCGTGAACCGACGGTTCCAGATCCGGTTCGCGATTTTGAACCGTTTTTAGTTTAAAATTTTATTTTTTATTTTAAAATAGTCTAAATTCAATAATAAATGTATTTTATTTTTTCAGTTCGGAACATGAACCGGCCATTCCGATTCACGATTTTAATAAACTCTAAATATCGTGTTTTGATTCTAAATTGTAATTGGAATATTTTGGTTTGGTTGCTATAGTATCTGTTTGGTTTGAATCAAATTATAGTAATAATTTGTTGGAGAAGAAAAATAAATGAAATATTTATTTTAAATATTTATTTTAAGGGTAAATATGTCCATTTAACATTTCAAGGGGAAAAAGAGCCACTTAAATAATTGAGGGGGAAAAAATGCTATAAGTATACAACTCAGGGGTAAAAAGCGCCACTTTCCCTTCAAATAAATCAAATACTAAATATATTTCGATTCAAGTTTTTTAATTATGAATATGAATTAAAGTCAATACTCCACTACCTGGTATAGCCTCGCAGTTTGGCGTTACAACTCCGACCATTGTTGTCGGCAGCTTTGAGTGCATGAATCTGTGGTTTACTTAATCTCAGTGTGGATACTTTGGTTTCCTTCATCCTCTCGCTTTCGTTGCTGGACTGGCCAATGATAAGCGGAGGAGAATGATGGAAAATCCGACGACCTCCCTGGGGAGATGATGATGATGATGATTCTCCTGCCCGGAGAAGTCTCCGGTCATGAAAAGGGGCGGAGCTCAATGGTTTCCCGGAGGCAAGATTAGCCCACTCGAAGAGAAAATGGGAGATGCCTTGTCCGTCAGCCACAACGTGAGATATCGCAAACCCAAGGCTGATCCCTCCACATCTGAACTTAGTGAGCTGCCCCGCGAACAAGGGAATATCTGGAATAGGATCAACACCGCTGTAGTCTACGCTAGGAACCAAGTGGTTAAACTCGGGGCCGGGCGAGAAGTCCCCGAGATCGGCCAACACGGCGTCGGATTCCGCCTCTACGAGGACGGCGCCATTGCCGTTGCAGTTGAGCGCGAGGGCTGTGCCGCCGCCGGAGGCGGCAGTAGTCCAGCTCAGGCGACCGGCAAAGGGGTAAAAATGCACCAGGACTTGGCTGAGAGAGAGCCGCAAGGAGTGGATAATGGCGTCTGGGGATAATGTGGAAGGAGTAGTGTAAAAATAGAGGATTTTAACGTACATCATAGTTCCGATCTGATCGAGCTCGGATAAGGAGAGAAGCCCACTCCATGTTGGCTCTGATGGTTTTACTACGTAAGACCTCTTAACTTTCACCTTCATTATATATATATGTATTTTTTTTTTCTACTTAAAAAAGTTGGAATAATTCTTGATTGTATTTGAGGGACTTATTATCGATTAGACAGTTGAAAAATTTAATTTTTTGGTTGAAAAATTCAATGATGAAAAGACCATTCTCGCAGCTTTGTCGGCAATTGATGAATGTGGGCTTAGTCCTGCACTTATCTTCTTATTCCCTATTTTTTAAAAAATTACACTTTTCATTCATAACTTATAGGCAATTGTATAATTCGTTCATATTTATTGATTATGTTCAATTCTCGTCACTTTAAGGTATAATTAGCGTTGCAAATTTTATCCCTAATGTTTTATTAGAAAAATGACGAAATTTGTAACGTTAGTTATAACTTAGGGATAAGAAATGAGCACGACTAACAAGTAAAGACAAATCCTATAATTATCTTATAACTTAGGAATAAAAATACAAATTTTCACCAAATCTAATGGAAGTAACGATATTATATTATACCTAGGCGTTCACGATGTGAATTTTGAATTCTAGTTCAGATTATATATTTACAGTTGCTAAGCACCTTGTACGGGTTCAGATGACAAGCAGTGACTCTCCCATATGAGAAGTCATGAGATCGAGCCTTAGTGGGGGGCAGTGTTTACATAATATAAATTAAGGTGCACAATAAGCATGGAAAATCTTGATCCATGATATAATTTATAATAAAAGTTGGAGTGAATTTCATTTTTAGTCCTACTATTATAGGGGTCTTTCCAATTTTTGTCCACCATAATTATTTTTGCCACATTACACCCACTATTATTAAAAGTGTTTCAATTTTAGTCCACATTAGGAGGATTTTCCGTCAAGAAGCTATTTTATTGTGGAGGAAAAGCCAAGCAAGAAATTTCTAGCGCCTTATTATGTCCTCGGCATCCAACGGCGTCGGAGAGGCGGCAATGGAATTAACGGTGAACCTCTGGCGTCTATGGAAAACCATCAAACCACAATCTGTTTAGAAAGAGCAGCAAAAGAAAAACCACCAAACCACAATATGTTTTTCGCCGCCACCGCCAATCAACCACCAAACCACCATCTCACTCCTCAAGCACACCGCTTCCAAGGCTGTGCTATAGTACTCGTGAGTAACCGGTAACCATTGTTTACCATATACTATCATGGATATCTCCTTCTCCTTTCCAACACCAACCGGATAAAACAAATCACTAATTACCTCCTCATCCCTCAACCCGTCACCGGATAAAACAAATCACTAATTACCTCCTCATCCCTCAACCCGTTTGTCCTGCTTCATTACCAACCGGATAAAACAAATCACTAATTACCTCCTCATCCTCATCCCATTGTCTTACCTCCTCATCCCATTGTCCTGCTTCATTACCAACCGGATAAAACAAATCACTAATTACCTCCTCATCCTCATCCCATTGTCCTGCTTCATTACCAACCGGATAAAACAAATCACTAATTACCTCCTCATCCCATTGTCCTGCTTCATTGCACAAATTAATCACTCGTGCATCACTCAACCCGTCAACACATTCAGTCTCTAAAACTGGATTGGTGTGATCCAACAGCTAGGGCCAACCCCAACCCAGCGTGTCTGCACCGTTTCCCTTTCCAACACCAACCGGATAAAACAAATCACTAATTACCTCCTCATCCCCGTTTCCCTTTCCAACACCAACCGGATAAAACAAATCACTAATTACCTCCTCATCCCATTGTCCTGCTTCATTGCACAAATTAATCACCCGTGCATCCCTCAACCCGTCAACACATTCAGTCTCTAAAACTGGATTAGTGTGATCCAACAGCTAGGGCCAGCCCCAACCCAGCGTGTCTGCACCGTTTCCCACCCAACAGCTAGGGCCAGCCCCAACCCAGCGTGTCTGCACCGTTTCCCACCTGCGAATAACACCCTGACGAAGTAAAGTGCACCGTTTCCTACCCTGCGAATAACACCCTGATGAAGTAAAGTTTGTCCCGCATGAATGCTCCGCCAGATATAACTCGGATTACTCCCAATGTTGACATTTAAAAAATGATCATTAGGAAAATACCTGGCTTTCAAAACTCCGGTCATCAAAGCATGAGGCGAGGTCAATGGACGACATCCTTGTTTCGCCAGCAATGCTACATTCAACTCGTGTAAGCGCTTAAACCCAAGCCCACCTTGCATTTTAGGCACAACCATGCGTGCCCAACTCAACCCGTGAATGCCTCGGCTTGTGGATCCTCCATGCTGCCACCAATACTTGTTCATGATATTCTCAATGGATGTACATACAGAAACAAGTAGCAGAAAGACTGACATCGAGAAGATCAGCATTGCCTGCACAACACTCTTCAGTAGCACCTCTTTGCCCGCACGGGATAGGAACTTCTTCTGCCATGAGCACACCCTCTCACGCACTTTCTGCTCAATGTACCTGAACACGGCTATTCGGTTCCGCCTAAGGAATGAGGGCAATCCCAAGTATCCACAAAAATCCTGAACCTCCCATACACAAAAAATCGCCGCCACATGACTTCTTATTCCCGGCGCTGTGTTACCGATGAACATAATGCTTGATTTGTCAAAGTTTACCATCTACCCGGAAACCTCCCCATACCACGCTAAGCAGTCCCGTACCACGAGTGCCTCCACACCGATAGCTTTGAAATATAAGAGGCTGTCGTCCGCAAAGAAAAGGTGCAAAATTGGCGGAACACTTCTCGCAACCTTCACATCGTGAACGAACCCTTGGGCCTCTTTCTGTTGCAGTAACAGCGACAAACCTTTTGCACAAACGATGAACAAATAGGGCGATAAGGGATCGCCCTAGCGTATCCCTCTCGTAGGAGTAACCAACCCAACAGACTCCCCATTTACTAGAACACTGTAATTGATGGACGTGACACAGAGTAGCACAAGATCAACCCACCCATGGGCAGATCCTAGTTCTACTAGAATACCCTCTAAAAACCCCCCCATTCCATTTTGTTGTAGGCCTTCACTATGTCCAGCTTCAAAGCCGCCCAGCCTGTAAGCCCATCCCATTTCCTTCTCAAATAATGTCCTACCTCACCTGCAACCATTATATTATCAGTTATAAGGCGATTCGGGACAAATGCAATCTAGGATGGCGATATAATCGAATCCAGACCCCTTTCATTCGGTTAGCTATAACCTTTGCAAAAACCTTGTACGCCACGTTGCACAACACTATTGGCCTCAAATCCGAGACCTTCTCGGGCACTTTTTTCTTCGGTATTAAGCAGATGTTAGTGTCATTCATTCCCTGGGGCAGACTACAGCTAACAAAGCAGGCTTTCACGAAATCAACCAAGTCATTCCAAAACGACTAATAAAAAGACGGTGACATCTCGTTCAGTCCCGGTGCTTTCTCAGATGCCATAGAGATCAAAGCAGCCTTCACCTCAACAACTTCAAGAGGCTTTAACAGCTGGTTGTTACAATCAGCACTCACACGGCTAGCGACCAGATTCAACAAATCACCCACACTGTTATTAGAAGCAAATATCGAATTAAAGTACCTTAAAACCTCCTACTTCATGGCGTTGCCCTCCACCCACAAGCCCGCAGGGTACTGCAGGCGGCTAAGGTGATTACCTTATAACATTCTTTATTTTATATTAATAATGAGATGTGTAATTTATAATGTGTTTCTATTCAAATTATTTTATCAAATTAATTATGTTTCATATTTTGTTATGAATATTTTTATAAACTTTCGATTTGTTTTATTTTTCGCTCATATCGAACAATATTTACAACTATATTTCTTAGGTAATTTATTTATTTTTTTAAATTATCTCTTTTGTTTTAATGTTTCGCCTTTATTGAAAAAATTTCTTGAATCCATCCCTACTTTTTCGCCTCTCCTCAACCGAATTTTTGGCTCCGTCCCTGCCAATGAGAGAGATAGAAGATGAATAGTTCCAAGTTTTTGGATTATATTAGAATATGAAAACAGACAAGGCACTACTGTAGGAACAATTAATCCTTGGAGCCTCATGCATGTACTAAACTACCCCTAAACATGAGTTGTTATACCATGGACCAAGGTGGACCCTGGTCCTAAACAATGATTTGACGATCCTGTATTGTATTCACAAACTCATTCCTACATCTGTTATGTGTTTTGATGACTTAAAAATACAATTTATATTTTAAAAGTTCACAATTGCTATATCAAAAATACATAATTTATAATCTCTTAATATTGTGTGACTGCAGTATTTGAAAGGAACTTGTGAATACAAAACAAGGTAATCAATTATATATATGTTAAAAGTGTGTGTTCTTAATATACAAATTATGAAAATTTAAAAGATATATTGTAAAGATTTAGTATGTAAATTGTGAACATTAGGATATGGGTTCACCTTGATATATGGAAGAAGAAATCCACTAGATTACAAAGAGAAACCAATCAAAAAATGCACTAATTCAATCCTATCTTGTCCCATGCATGAACGGCCCCTAATATATACAAAAATAAAAACTACAAATACAAAAATCTCAGAGTCAATTCCACTAAAATTCCCTTGAATATTGATTTTTTTTTTTTCATATTTGCTTCTCACCTTTAAAATCATTTACTTGGTAAAAATTTATGTGAGACCGCCTCATAGATCTTTGTTCGTAAGACAGGTCGGGTTAATATGAAAATGTAATACTTATACTGTAATACTTATATTAAAAAATACAAAGCAAAAACTTATGTAGGACCGTCTCACCGTGAGACGGGTCGGGTCAGAATGAAAATGGAATACTTATATGCACAAATGGAATAAAGTATTTATTGCTTATATGGGTAAACACAATACTTTTAAGGAAAAATGTAACACTTTTATATTTTGATTTAAAAGTATTATATTTTCCTTTATAAGTAATAAACACTTGCCAACATTACTTACTAGGAAAAATGTAATAATTTTGATGAAAAATATAATAATTTTACATCGAAATGTAAAAGTATTACATTTTTCCTCAAAA